TTCCGCATTTGTTAGCGACTCCGCTTGGCTTTGTATACCAGACCAGCGTCTGAAAATAGCCTTTCGCTGTACGTTACTGCCAGGTGCTGAAAGGTAAATTCTAGCAAACTTCGACAACTGCGGATGCTGACTCAAATTAACTGACCACCAAATGAATGGGTCGTGATTGCGAACGATTCGAGATGTCTTTAAGAAAAAGTCAATCTCCTTAGCAATTGGATTTTGCTTTCCTTGATCGCGATGATTAGGTACTACTACTATTATCCTTTGCCACTTCATTGAAACAGACCCAAGTGTCTTGAGCTTCACGTGGGAAGTTGGATCTACTTTCTTCTTTCATTCGCTTAGCAGGTGTTGAAGTCAGCGATGATCTTTTACTGTACTCTATCATAATATTTCGCGCCCGTATAGTAAGTAACGTTCTCATTCAACGCACCTCTATTCAAGTCAAACTGATCGCGTTGTGCAACGCGATAAAGAGCCGAATATCCGACGTTCCGGCCTCGTAGCTTGCCGAATATCCGGTATCCGGCCAAATAATTATCCGTTTCATCTCTAGTATAGATACAGCGCTCGCCGCCTGGTAACGTAACGCTGCTATTTCCCGGTTCCTACATTCAACGAACGTGCGTTAGTCACATAGCTTCTTAACGTTCATAACGACTTTTAGATTAAAGGAACAGTAGTAACTCACTTTCCGTGGGTAATGCAACGGCTCGTATGGAGAACGCCTAGTTTTGTTAATATAGGAACGGATCGTACACGCATTTTATCTATTAGTCGTTACAAAAGTTACGAAGCTATGTAACTAACGGCTATTCGTTGAGTATAGGAACCGGGTATATGTCAAGACGCCATAGCGCGGTCAGAAGCGTCACCCGCCGTGAGCCCCCCGCGCGCAGCTCGACACATCACACGGAATACACATACGGCTCAGCACATTCCACGACGAATGCGAGGTCCCAGATTCACGGCCTACACAACTAGACTTATATACTCGATTGCCTGGTCGTTTTTGAACTAACGTATCAATTTTTGTTTAACATAGATATTTGTGAAGCCATCCTGTTATGAGTGTCGCAAAGCTTTTAAGAATGTTTTCAATATCGCCTTATGCATAACTGTCGGCTATGTTTATTTAAAGTAATGACTCCCTATTATAAGAAATTGGGCTATAGCACACTGGCAGTTGGCTCGATGTCTGAAAGGAGTGCTTCTTTAGTAGCTATCGCCCGAACTGCTTTAGGGATGTGCATTAAAACATCCCTAAAGTAGAATGGAATAGAAATAGAGACCTTGTAGGAAATGTTCAGCTATATAATGCTCATACTTTAGTGAGATCCTTAAACTCTATTATGTACGAGCGCCCAAAGGCACTCGAAAAGTCTGGCATAATGGCTTACTATCAATCTGTACACACTCGAACCGCTCTTTTCGCTTTTTAAAAAAGGACTACGAACCTCTTATAGCGGGTGTTCCTCATCGTTAGTGCCTCTCAAACTCTTCATCTGTACATGAACGACATTCCCCAAAACCCACCCGTCGAATTCGCATTTTTCGCGGACGACACAGCATGAAAAAACATGCAGACCGTATTAACAATTCGCCTTCAAAACTCCGCTAATCGCATCGCTGATTGGTTTCGCAAATGGAGAATTGAAGTAAGCCCCGAAATAAGTGTGGCGAAAACAGGAATTAAGGACTAATCACACTTTTCGGCCGACCGACCCTTTAGGAGAAGGTTAAATATTTTTGGGTCACATTTGACATTAATGAATCCCCCTAGTACCGGACAGCACTTAGTACCGGACAAAATACGTCGAGATCCTTACTAATATTATAAACGCGAAAGTTTGTATGTATAGATGGATGTTTGTTACTCAGTCTGCTATGTGGCCATACCACACGAAAACTCGTGTGTCGTAAAAACTTCCATTTGCGTGCTCTACACTCGATATTTTCAAACTTTAACAATTCTTTAACGCTGGATTCTGTTGCTATTATTTAATTTACCACAACAATACACTTTAGTTAAGCTTCAGTCGACTAATTTTGTACAACCATAGAATTTGTCTCTTATTGTCCTAATGAGATCACGATTAAGATAACATTTAATTCAGTGTTTCATTGATATGTAAAATAAAACAAGATGTTGAAATAAAAATACATATATTAATTTTACATCAATATTAAATTACAGCCAACGTAACTATGTAGGTTACAATAATAAAAATATACCTATATAATTTCCATTGAAACAAATAAATAATAAAAACAAGGTATTTTTTTTTCTTATTAGTAATAATAACCTAATTCTAAAAATCATTGACTATAAGAAGGTTGCAACTGCAGAATACCAGGTAACATTCTTTAAAACAATCCATCTACAAGCAAGGGAGAGCTCACTTATAGTAATATAGTATTATTATGGAATTTACTCATTAATTCTATAATTAATTAATAATGAGTATAATGGCGGGGAAATCTGTTTATGATGTCGAATTGAACATCCACATACATATTATAATACTTTTTTTTAATTCACGATTTACTATTTTTAATTATACGCATTTACACTGTTTTCCTTTCATTATATAATCATTAATTACTGTTACGCAGTTCAAATTTCTACAGGAAATAAAGTTTAGATAATAAATATTATTACCAAAAACACATTTCCCCGCCATTCGTATAACCTAAATAGAAAGAGATTGGTATTATGTCTTTACAGAACAAAATTTTCAGCTAATTTTTTGGCGTTAAGCAATGAAATAAAAAAAGGAAACTTAGCTTTGGAATAGAACCCAGTGAGACTAAAGACAATAAGTTTGTTATTTTTACCAAAAGATCCTTCGGGTCTTTCGTGGATGATCTCAGATTCAAATATCGATTTACAAACAGAGACCTTAACAGATAAAAAAACTGTCACGTAGTGGTCCGTCGTTTGGTCTCCTTGATTTTCATTTATTTGTCTTATGTTGTAAATAATCACGTTTGTTAACAAAATGTTAGTTACATATATGAATATTTAAATAAAACACACTTGACCCCGCAGAAACATATTTGCAGAAAAACATAATAGGATAGCAGATTCATCAGGAAATAATCTCACTGGAAAGATAATTAGATTAGATAGTATTACTAACAAAATATTTACAACAAAATCAGTAGGATATAACCGAAAGTAAGCCAATGAAAACCCATGATACACGATCTAGATAGAAGTTCGAAAATAAATACGTAAAACGCAAAAGTATAAATGCCCTATACAATTATTCCACTAAGGAAATATAACGTTAAATATACATAATCATAATTTGTTTCCAAGCTAATTAAAATTGATTGGGTAAACACACAAATGCAACGCAAATAAATTATGTATGTTTCTTTTTTACATCGGTATCTCCTTAACATTGAGGCTAAGTCGAATAACGAAACTTCGAAATTAGACTGTTCCTGGTTTCAATAATAGCCGAGTTAGGCATTCGGAAACCGAATCTCCAGGGGAAAGGATACTTCAGTGTACCGATCGTCCAATGTTTTCAACTCGACATACAAGTGTTCATTTTCTTGTTTACATCTATGCACTAATATTACGTTTAAAATATGTTACAATGTTCCCATTTGTTATTTTTCATTTAATGTAAAATATTGATCGACGAGCAATGCAAAATTGTTTCAGCAAAACAATAGTCCGAGCAAGGTTTACGTAACAATATGCGTAGCAAAATTAATATGTAATCGAGAATCGAAGTAAACTGTTATGAATATTTTTTTGTAAAATCAGTCTTTTTTTGAAATATAGATTTGAAACGAAACAACTTGAATGGAAAACAAAAAGGAAATACTTGCACCAGTAGCCGAAATGCGCAAAATCAATTCCTTTAAGGCGGCGTATGGAGATATATCAATGCAAAATAATAGTTGGATGAAATCATTGGGCAAATCTCAAGATATTTTTTACTGCCAATTGAAGCGATAATAATATTTTAATGCCACTTAACATATTGTGATGTAGTAAGAAATTAAAGACTGGTAAAAACAGGCAGAGAGGTTCGTAACAACTAATTTTATAGTATATACTCTACTAGTATAGCAATTACGTGATAATGTAACCAGTACACAAGTAAAAACTAATCCCAAGCTTGATCTCCTTTATAAACTATATTAGAATCGTCTTTGGGATTTCATTTAGATTTTAATTACAATCATACTGGTTGTCATATCAACTGGGTTGTAGCGCACGACGCAAAATATATGTATATAAATTATTCAGTAAAGATCAAAGGCTAAAATCGATTACAGCACACCTCTCACTTGCCGACTCCTACGTTATTAAAAAATAATTTAATACAGATTCTACAGTAACAGAGGAAAATGTTTGTAAACGAATAAATGCTTTATAGTGTCTACGCAGCCGTAAAACTACAAGTATCAGTCACGCAACTTAAGTCCCATAGCACACATGATTCACGTATCTACCGTATCGATAATAAATAGGACTTAACACCCCGAAAGCTAAACGGAAATCGTATAGCTATCCACATTATGCGTCATCATACTTACGACTACTTATAATTTACGAAAGGCAACCATTGATAGAAAACGTTCACCGAAATTGACGAAACTAGAGACCAGCAAATAAATCGCACGGGGATATTTTCAATCTACGACAAATCACGAAAAAGGCAAAATAGGAAGTTTCAATCGGCTATCGCTTAACATATCATTACACGTAGTAACCGCGAATACAACACTGGGGGTCACAAACTACACGTGTATTTGTACTAATTTGGGGATTGAGGGGGGGGGGGGGGTGACAACACTATTCGATTAATTAACGGAGTCCGACCATAGTCCAGTGCGACGAGGTCGAAATACCTATCGAGAGCTCGCCCTCCGACGGGTAAACGTCGAGTGTGGCATTCGCCGAGCGGTCTCGCGTCCCCCCTTGTGACAGCGTCCGGGCAAACGGTCCGGTGCTCCGGCGGGGGCTCTCATTTGTTGGGAACGTGGATCTTCTTGGACCTGAAGTCGTAGATCTTGCGGCAGAACAGCACCAGCTCCGGCGAGACGGAGGGCGGCAGCTTGGTGTCGTTGGGCGCCAGGGCGGGCGTCACCTCGCCGGCCGGCATCGGGGGCACGATAGAGGGGGCGATCGCGACGCCCTCCTCGGCCGCTTTTAGCCGCTTCCTGTACCTGAGGGCGGCCAAGTGGGGAGGTTCAATGTAATAGCACGCACAAACGCAAAAGCTACGGTCGTCTATTGAATGTCAGGGCACGATTTAGAGGTCCGGAGGCCTCGGGGCAACAAAGGAGTGGAGGCCCAAATCATTTAGCAAATATAATAAAACATTGAAATATAATGGGAAAAAAGAATTAACTAAAATTAAGTTTTGAGTCTCACAAGTCTGGATGTATTTTGGCGTCCACGATTTCATGTCACTTAAACTCTTTAAAAAAGATTTCTTACGAATCGAGGGCTTTTCAAAGATTTATTTGGCGATATACTTTGTTGAATTATAACATAATTGCATTAACACATTATAAAATACATATTAGTTTAAAATATTTAGTCGTCACGAAACTGGCGCCAGTGAGTTGTTTCTATCGTCAGCCTCACCGATCACGGGCGTTGCGAACGTCCACGGGCGTCGGTTATCGCTTAACATCAGGTGAACCGCCGGCTCGCTTGCCCCTTTGTGACGTAAGCAAGAAAGAACTCCCACCGGCAGTACTCGTTGAAGGTGAGCACGTAGCACTTGTCCTCTATGCAGGCGACGGAGTTGGCGTCGCGGTGCCTCGAGGCGAACACCTCGTCGGGCGCGTCGCCCGCCTGCCGCCCGCGCTCCGTGTGCTCCGGCCGGTAGTACCACACCAGCGACACCATCATCTCGCCTGCAACGAGCGCACATTTAACTGATTCGCCCCACTCTCGCTACGCATTAGCCTATTACACTAGTATGTATCACGCATCTAGTGGGATCGACCTCTTAAACCCAAGTGAGCCACTTGTTTGTTTACTGTTTACTTTAATTAAAGTTTTTTTTAGTATGTATCCATGAATCCCTCCTCAGTATGATAGCACTAGTTAGCCGATTAACTGCTTATAAGCCTGTTTAAACGGTCTTGTGAGGTCTGTCAAAACATCAACGACCCACAATGAATACGCGGTGTGCTGATCACCATCGGTATCCTCAAGAAAATTTGTGTAACCACAGGCTTGCAACGAGCGCCTTGGGCTGCGCGCACGCACGAGCGTGTCACGGGCAAACGTGTGAGTGCGTGCAGGAACGAGCGCGCGCGCGCGTGTGTGTTTAGGGGGGGGTCACTGACTGTAGTCTTGGTTCTTCCACAGGCTGCAACGCGCGCGATAAAGGGCTACGCGCACGCGCGAGTGTCGTGGGCAAATGTGTGCATGCGTGCATGCGTGAGTGCGTGTGTAAGGGGGGGTGGGCGTACTGACCGTCGTCTGGGTTCTCCCAAAGGCTGGCAACGCGCGCCACGAAGGGTTGAGCGCGCGCTAGTGATGCGCGTAGCAGCACGCAGTCGCCTCTCGCCACGCGGTCGCCGCTCGCGTGCCACATGCGCGCCCAGCACCGCGCCGTGCGGTCCAGCCGCGAGTCGTTCTGCGCCAGCCAATACAATACATGAAATGGCGTATTTAGGATGCACCTTGAAATAATACAGACCCTCTACATTGACTAATGAAACTGTTATCTATTTCTTAGTGTACAAAATTATTGGAATTTCGAGAAGCTGTCTTTTCAGCTCGTTCCGAACTAGAACTGTAATCCGCTAATCGGGCGGGAGAATCGTTTAAAAATCACATATACTTACATTGAGGTAGACTTTGGAGACGTAGTGCTCGCCGTCCCAGTTCCAGCCGTTGCTCCACCGAGGGGGCGGCCGCGGTTGAAGTGTGGGCGGCGCTAAAGGCGCAGGAGGGCGTCTGGCCCTCCGCACACCGCTGCGGCGGCGTCTCGTTCGCCTCCCGCCTATCCCGCCCCCGTTGAAATGCCCCACAGTCTCCAATGCAGCAGCCTCCCCAATTGAGGGTATGGGCGAGGCGCACGCGTCCTCCACGACCGATACCGCTTCGTCCATTTTCAAAGCAGTCTTCTTCGATACCAGCAGCTTTGCTAATTTCTCCACATTCTTCCCTTTGGATTCTTTGTCGATCGCCAGTTTACAGCGCTTCCCAGTCTTCTCCGCTTTCGCCTGTTCTATCGTTTTCTCTTCAACCTCTTCAAGGGCTACTTCTTGAGCCATTTCTTCGGATTTCTTTGCTTGCTTCTTGGAAACCAGCAATTTGACAACTTTTTCAACATTTTTGCCTTTGATTTCACCATTAGCCTTGTCTATTACTGACTTTTTGGATGATATTTTATCTATCTTATTGTCTGAAACTTCGAGATCCATTATAATCTCTTCCTGAGTTTGTATTTTTCTGGGTATACATTGAGATTCATCTTCATTTACTGTGATATCAGTGTTAGATTTTAACTCTGACTGGTTCAAACTCAATTTAATTTTGTTAGGTTTCATCGCTTTTATGGACTTTGTATCATCTTCAGACTTGTCACTGTTTTTAACATCACAAACATCATCTTTAATTGGATCACATTTATCTTCAACAGGTTTTGTTTCACATTTTTCTTTCGCAACGTTCATTTCAGGAACCGAACCACTGCTCGGCAGCGTTTTAATATCTTCTTTGAAGTCTGAATTATCGGTGGGTGTTTTTAATACTGATTTTAAATTGTGCGTAATTTTTGAGTCAATCTTGCAAGCGTTCTTGTACGCAAGTTTCTTTTCTATGAGTTGGCTTACAGCTGCTATTGTTTTGGGGCGTACACCATTAACTGAACTATTATTATCGACAATATTATTATTATTATTTAGGGTTTTCTTAGGACAGTTCTGTACTGTATTTTCACTTGGCGGCAGGAATAGTTCTGCTGGATTTAATTCTGTGTCCGATGGGTATCCTTTTCCGTCAATACTGTTTTTCCTAATCAAATTATCAAGAAGAAGCGCACTTTTCGTTTTAGGCTTCTTTATATAAGGCTCTTCCACTACCGCTGCGACGTTTTTTATGCGCGGATCCTCATTGATAATAGTTTCGATTAGCGCTTTCTTAACTTTCAAACCGCTGACTGAGTTTTCCAACTTACGTTTCAAGGATTTTTTCTCCGCCGGAGGCGATCGAGGCGTTCGCTTTATACTTGGTGTGGCTTTCTTTTTCGATTCCTTCGTCACAGTCTCTGTCCTTAAAATATCAGTTTGATCTCCAGACACTTTCCTTCTCTTTTGCAGTTTCACGTGTTCCCCTATTCCATTGGTTTTGCAGGCGTCATCGAGTTGTATATCCCTTAGGTCGATTTCCAGTTTCGGCTTCGAGTATCTCCGCTTCACCGCTTTACTGGCGTCTGTCGCATCAGGCGCTTCTGTTGGTGTTGTCGCACTATTATGCTCCCTCAATGCTTGGGCGTCAGCTTTCCGCGGAGTTGTGTATGTCGGGCCTTCGTTTTCCTTTTTGACGTCCACTAAGGGTGTCGAGCGTTCATCAGAGGAGGACAAATCTATCGGTGCACATATTGGTGGCGAAATTGCGAGGACGTCGTCGTCGGCATCGCTGTGTTGTGTCGGTGGATGGGGCACCGTCAATAGTAGGCCTGTGTCGTCTCCTACTAAGGTTCTTCTCGCCATTGCTTTGCCAAGTCTGGCCCTTCGGGGGGCAGTGGGGGGTGGCTGAGGGGCGCACGCACCAGCTGAGCCCCTTGCAGGTGAGGGGGGGCCTAATGCCTCGGCGGGACCTGGTAAGTCCGCCGCCAGGCGAAGGTTTTCGCGAACGTCGTAAAGTTCGCGTTTGGGCGACGCGCCTCCGATAGCGGGCAGCGGGCAAGGGTGCGGGGCGTCGGCTGCGGCCGGCGGCTCCGGTTCTAACGGCGGATCCTGACAAATACAATTTAAGGATGAAACAGTTTGAATGTAAAGAGGAACAAACCACATGTTTATTATCTTGTTTGATTTAAAAAAAGCTCAACAATTTTTGAAATTCCAGCTAAGAATATTTTTTAATCCAATTATTTAACCATTATTTATTCAGAGGCATCGTAAAACTTTTGGGTCGCAACCCTTGTTAACAATATTCAACTCATGTTTGATTTGTATGTAAAGGCTTAAAGGTTCGAACTTTGGCTAAGTATATAAGTTGTGCATGCCGAGACTTTTATTCAAACCTTTGGTCTGGAATTGATAAATTCAATTGCCTTGTATTATATATAATACTAGTACGAAAGACAAATAATGTGAGAAGTGTGGGTGCTCTTTTCAGCTGTGTGGCTCGGCTGTGGTGTATAAAGATAATTTCTGAACGTGTATCTACAGTGAAAGATTACTAAAGGGGTGAAAGATGCAAAAGAGGCGCAAGAGGCAAAAGAGGCGTAAGGGGCGCGGTAGAAGCGAAAAAGGTGAGGTGTGCGTACCTTGCCGCTGCCGTGCGTGTCGGCGGCGGAGTCGAGAGCGCAGGCCCGCACCTTCGCGCGGAAGGCACCCCCGGGCGGCGCTAGAGCGTGTGCGTCAGCGGGGCCGCCACCGGCTGGGGCTTTACCAGTAGCGGGCCCAATAAGGACGTTTTTTGGACACGCGTTCAATGGGCACGGGCATCCGCGGTATTCTGTAACAGGCAACGTATCTTATGTATAAATGCGACACTCAAGTTGTGTTGTGTCGGTGATTGGGGCACCGTCGACAGGGTAGGGTAGAATAAGAATATTATACCGGTATTTTATTTTATATAAACTGAGCTTTGAAAAAGAGCAACTGTTGAGTTTCTTGCCGGTCTCTTCTCAACAGAAACTACTTTCCGAACCGGTGGTACCTTACGAACCTCTATGTATAAAGTTTTATGTAAAATTTGACGATTCATAAGAACGCGCAAGCGTCTATTTGAATAAAGATTTTTGATTTTGATTGATTGAACAGTGGGTCTGTGTCGTCTCCTACAGAGGTTCTTCTCGCCATTGCTTTTCCGAGTCTGGCGAGCGCTTACACATATTAACCATACAAACGCCGCGTTATAAATTATCGTTATCAGCCTGTGTCGCGCGGCCTTATGGAGTCATAATGATGAGCTTAATACAAGTCGATATTTGGTTTTATAAAATTAAAAAAAATATACGATTACTATTTATAAATATTTTAATAATATATTAAATTTACATAATATATTAATTTGAGTGACCAATACATTTCTTTTAAAAAATGAATGTGAATAATTAAATTATTTACTAATTATTTAATAATTATCTTCTTCGTCTTAGACAAGAAAACCGTGTAACTTAGTAGTTATAGTATAATATAGTAAGTAGTAAGGCGATAGTTCGCCTTCCTGTAGATATATTATTAAAAGTTTAACTTGTTCTTTTAAAATAGATTTTTTCAAGATTATTTTTAAACGATTAATAAGACCCAAGGGGTTGCATTTTTTTATTGCTACAGACTCATACGACTGAACTCATAAAGCGAATACTATAGAGAACACAGATAGTTTTTGCAGTATAAATGCTTGAAAATGGTACAAATAGTTACCTACTTATAACATTCGAGAACTAAGCACGGTTGATCCAAAAATAGTCTTCATCACAAATATGAATAGATAGATTGTGCTGAAGCTTCTGATTTTTAAACTTTAGTAAACAAAATAAATGTTTTGAAACAAATTTTCCTTCTTAAATATTCAAACAAAATAAACTTTTACAACAAATATTGGATCGGTTTGATGACAAATTCACTTACCGACGTATGGTATTCTCTGTGGTGAATGTTGGTAACATGGTGGTGTGCCGTAGTATTGCGGTGGTGGATATGGCTCGCTCCCCACGCCCACCATCTGCAATCATTGGCCTAAACGTTAAAACTACACCAGTGGGTACGTTTTAGTTGGATGTAAAAATATATTCTCGCACTTTTAAAGTACGTGTATAAATAATGTTCTAGTGAGATGATTATTATATTAGTTGAAAGTACCATTTTAATCGTTTCAGAATTATCTCACTTTTGTTCTTACTTATAGTAGGATTATGCAGTAAATTCTGCTGTTGCATTTAAGGTTTCGCCTCGTCCGCTGAAGCATGGTCCCACAAAACCGAAGTAAAGTTTTTATACATTTATACTACATATGGCGAGTGAGGTAACCGAAACAATGTTGTGGTTGTCCGGTGGTAATCACTTAATACCAGGTGAATCGCCGGCTCGGTAGTAAGCATCTTATTAATTAATAATTTTTTCTTCATTTTCTTTTTCGTAACATTTGATTACCTGTGCTTCAGGCTGTGGCGGTGGTATGTGGTAAGGCCCGGGCGGTCTGTAATATCGCCCGTAGCATAACTCCGCCGGATAGTACGGTGGACCATATTGTTGCAGCACCTGAGAAATTAATTAATTTCAATTTTCAGCAGAAATACTACAATGCTGTACTCCGTAATTTAGTTCTTCGGAACTTTTAACATCATATTATTATTTCATGAGTTAAAATGCAACGTGTTTATATGAAATATTTAGTTTATACAATATATTAACTATGTATAGTTTCTGTGCTAATATTAGCAAATCTCCCTATTTAGTTTTCATATCGACGCTGAAAATCTTAAGTTTCGAAACTTATAGGAACTGCGGAGAGAATTTAATTACTTTTAGACGAGTGTTTATTTGCTTGCAAATGAAGTTTTATATCTATAAGTTTTATTCATAATGGTTTGTAAAGAAATGCTCACAGAAGGATGCGGGGGGTGGTAATGTGGGGGTGGATGATATCTGCCCAGAGCTCTTTCTGCATCTGCACTGTTTTCCTTGATCAGGGGCCCAGCAGGCTGATAATATCCTGTAACAAAAAATACATACTTCAATTTCGCACTTTTATTTACAGATTTTAGTATACCCATGTACTTGTAGCATGTAATTTCTAACAGTGTTGTTGTTAAAACTTATGTAGACAATTTTAATCTTTTGAGCCGACGAGGTGGCCACAAAAGTTTAATTAAGCCAGTATGTTAGCAATCAGTTAATTTGTGTTTCTCATGTTAAAAAACCAATTTAGTTTTCTTTTCATGGAGCCCTTTCCTTCATATCAAATTCGAAAAAAGAAATTGAAGAAATTATCCAAAGTAAACTCTAGGACGTCAATTAAAAGAAGCGGTGCGAAGATTGGTGCAATTCTAATGAGACCATGAGCTGGCACGGGGCCAGGCTCGTATCCAGCGTTCGTTGGGACCGGTCGTCGACCAAATTGGCGAACACTGTATTCGGTCGGCGTATGCATAAGTGGACGCTTGGCGCCGTCGTTACGTAGTAGTTCGGCGGTTACCCACGCAAGTTGGTTCGGAGTGGAGAGTTCCCAAAACCGCGCGCACCGTCGACCGTTAACGGTTGTGCAACCGTCAATTGCGTCTTATATTCCGTTAACTAACGCACGCCAATTATTTCGATTGACCAGTATGTTTGAAATGAGGCAATATATTATATCTGTGTCATTGGGTAAATTAAAATGAACAATTGCCTAAGTAAGTGTATATCTAATAAAAATTTCTTATAACCTATAAGGTGAAGTAGCAAATCTTGTAACGAATCACATAAATATTCCGTTGTAAGTTACCGATACATAGCGACGAAATTTGCAACAGAATCACTACATAGTATAAAACGAAGTGGTACCGCTGTCTGTCTGTCACTATGTATGCTTAGATCTTTAAAACTACGCAACGGATCTTGATGCGGTTTTTTTTATTGTATAGAGTGATTCAAGAGGAAGGTTCGCTAGTACGATATAAAGTATATCGTATTCTGTTGCAAATTATTATATTCTGCTCTGGTTTGAATACTATAAATCGTTAAACATTTTTTTTACGATCGATTACTGTTAAATTTCTTTTAAAATTCCCGGCGTCATTACCTCTTTTAGCATCTATGATCACGGGACGGACTGCTCGCCGCAGATGCCCGGTATATAAAGGAAATTATAAGCTAAAAAATCCCTAATTTTGCTTTTTTAATAAGTTGCAACGTGATATTGGAATATATTATTCCGGCATATCAATAGGAAATACGATGATAATGATTTTTTGAATTTTAATTTATGTCATACTCATTGTAGGTCAGCGTGCGGATCCGTATAGGAAGCATGGGAATATTGGACCGCTGGGCGTCGTGGTCGAGCTTAGTGACGTGTATGGCGGATGTGGTCATGCGACCTCCGCCCCCCGAAATGGCCGTGTGTTATTTCTCACCGAACAAGTGCACATTGGAGGGGGTGCGTTTCGAATGTCGCCAATGTTCGTCCCATTGAAAGCATCCATTGAGTTTAGAAACATTCTAGATTTTTTTAAGCGTTAAATTTGTCAAACGATCAGTCGGTTCACCGGATGTTAAGCGAAGACCGCCGCCCATGGACATCTACATCTGAGGGCTTGCAGACGTGTTGCAAAACTTTTAAAAAAGTGAGCGCCCAGAGGAAACACGAAAATATAATACTTGCAGTTCACGCTGGTCTTCCGTGAGGCCGTGGTACTTCCCTGAACGAGCCTGTCCATTCGTGTTACAGCACCGTTGCATGCCCCTACCACTATTATTACGCGTTAAAATAGACTTCTGAGATATAGCATACGGAAACATTTTGACTAACTGACAGCCCTTTTCATTTAATTCGGAGGTTAAGGTACTTTGTCAAGTGAGGAAATACCGTTAAATGTTATGCTTTATTTGCCCTGACTTGTTAAATTTTATTGTGCTATAAAGCGTTAAGTTCGCACGAACCGTTTGGATGGTAATTTGAAGCGTGTCGAATTTTATTATCACGATAGTAATGTTAATAGGTATGTTGATGATAATTTGATACACTTTCACTTATCATTGCAATGGTAATTGAGTGGAAAATTTTGTGAAAGTTTTATATTCGAGTTGCGACGAATATTCGGTATCGCCATGTGTTCGCAATTCAGCCGCAAACCGAGTAGTTGACTAGTTGATTACTATTTGGCCGAATGACGAATACCTGAATCTTGCAAGTAATTCCATTATAAAATTATAACAAAAACTAGTACGTTCTCATCCCACTCAGGAAGTGGACCCACGACATTAGCTAAGCAGATACGAAAGGATTATTACTACTTTCTCTCTTATGAGCAGTAGATTAGATTCAGATTGATCAGAAGATCGGATATGGCCGGTGATGAATTTGCCGCGACAATTTGAAAGGTTTTTCATTTCATATACATATTTGATCATGCAGAACATTCGCAAAGACGGTCGAATATTCGCAAAGACGGTCGAATATTCGATTTTCTAGTGGCCGAATATACTATTCATTGCCAAGTTAATTCATATCATGCAAATGATATAAATTTACAAATGATACTGGCACGATGATAAGATAGGGAAAATTGTAATTTGTTGTGCTAATCTCTGCACTGGCGCATCAATTGTTATATATATATATACATAGTTATAAAAGTTAAAAAAGCAATGGTGACATCTCTCGTTCTAGTTACCGTTGTAAAACGATATACGAAATTGTTTGTAAGCTGGTAAGGATATAACAATGGATGCGCTAAGCATTGCTTCAAATGCTAAAAAAAATGTAGATAAAAGGCATTGAGATTTTCGTCGGTGTGGCAATCAGCTTAGTGACTAAAGCGTCAGGCTGCGAATGCGAATCCCGAAGACGTGGGTTCGATTCCCAGAGCGGCGAAAAGCTTTTCGTACTTTTTTTCTACAAAATTTTTATATTTTTTTTTTCACATTAACACAAATTCCCTTTGTCCCCTCCGTGGCGAACGTCTTTGTTATTTACTTTTCGTCCAGCTTATTCTAGCCCCTCCTAATGGTGGTCGTGAGCATTGTTGCCTTCTAACAGAATAATGATTCTTGCAGGCGACGAATCGGAAAAATCTTTTATATACGCGACTAGGATTCGAACCTTGGAACGCAAGGCCGTAAGTGGATGTGGAACGTCGATTATAAGGTCGCAAGTTCGTATCACAACTTCACATGTATGCTTACTGTCCGGCGGCGCACTGTACTTATCTCATTAAATCACTGATTAAGCCAGGCGATATTAATATACAATCTCAATTTGTCTTAAAAGTTAATAAGGCTTAAAAGTCATGATATGTTAGAAAAAATACAGTTGCAATTATTGTTATTTACTACCCGTCTGTCCTGTCCGGTCCTGCATTGCAGTAGCAGATGGCGTTGCAATTGCGGTCAGAAGGCTTTTTTTATAAGAAAGTATATTTTACCTGACACAGTTGTGATATAAGTTTATGAAAACACGCGCGTATTCGACTAGCAATTATTAAAATCAGAAAGCAACTGGTGAAGAATATTGAGAGATTTGAGGTATTAAGGATCGGATTTAAGGTTTAGAAGGAACTGACATTTATTTCTTTAATCAATGTTCATTAAAAGCTTTATGAACATTATTGTTCCTTTATAAGATTTTTAAATATGTTTGTAACAATATATCCGAAACGTATTAGAATTTTATTTTCATTGTAACCTTTCCGTTCCAATTTCAAAAGTTTAAACTCGCACGCCGTTTATAAACTGGCGCATCGGTTGTTTCCGAACGCACTCCGCGGCCTGCCCGCGCAGATAGCCCACCGACCACTTCCGATTGCGCAAACACTTTATAGGACTTTCCAACAATGGCACCGTTTCCCCGCCTCGCTGGGCCCTTTCATCGCCGACGACTATCGATTATTATTTAGACCTCACGGCTCAAGTTACAGGCGGTGGCTTTTTTGCGGGCGCCCAATTCAAACTCGGAACGTGCTCTCGATACGAGAATAATGACGTGAACAGGATATCCGTTTGTCAATCGCCGGAGGTCGCCGCTCCCGCGGGAGAGATTAAAGAGTGGTAAGTGTCTCGGTACAGTTTAATTATTTATTCGACGGCCCTCCGACGGTGATGAGGGTAATGCGCAGTACACTCGTAAAAAGAACGTTCAGGAAAAAGGAACCGCTCTTCGAAGTTGTTTATAATGTTGTAAAGATCAATCTTAGTCCCGCTTAAAAAAGTTTAAGCACATGCGACTCATTTTTAATTAGTTCATGTAATATGGAGAACCGGACATAATGTTACGATACTCGCAATGATAAGAATGATGGAAATTTCTGCTCATCAGATGTGAACTTATAATTATAAGTAGACACAAAACAATTATAAAAACACAATAAAAGCGAAATGGTCTATTTTCAGTTAATGTTTTATAATTAGATGACTCCTATTTCGAAGTAAAAATTCGAAATAGGAGTCATCTAATTATTGCAAACAAAAATTTAGAAAGATAAAATAAACAATAATTTGAAAAGGGAGCGACAAATATTTACTGCAATAACCGAGTTGCACTGCACACTACCGGAATGAGTCAAACTTTACGCTATTAAAAAAGTACTAAACGGGCATTATCATATGAAGATGAAATTTTTGTAACTGTTATTTGATCCATTTCATAGCGGGTATCTTTAAAAAAATTGATTATATCAATGCATTAGTTTAAATATTATGCAGTTTTATGAATATTTAATTTAGTCATTGTTAAATTAACAAAATTTATGTATATAATTCATATTATATATTTAAAAATTGGCCTTTATCTAAACTCGAATTATTCCACAATTTTTGAAAAGCAACTGTTTTTGCGTTTAGCGCTGCATACGATTACATAGAATATAGATTTCCTAGATGCGTTTACGTATTTAAACGTATTATAATGTAGTCAACCGTACTATAATGCAAGTCAGTGTAGTTAAGTTATATTGCTACAAAAGACCCTTAATAAGCCTTTGGTAATAAAAGAGCACGCTGTATTCAATGCCGCGACGTCGTTGACGTCATTTGAGGCCTTAGTACTCGGTCGCGCCGCGTGGCGCTGGTGCGCCGTTATACCGTTAACGCAGACGTAAGTCGGATTGCGCGGGCGGAGAGGCGGCTTTAAACTGGACAGCACGGTTCCGAGAAAACTCCGTCCTAATACAATAATGAACTTAGGTGATATTTAATCTGCGGCTGAGGTATTAACAAGTCGTAATTAAACAAAGTTTAAGTGTAGACGGTTAATGCTTCTATTGATATTCTTGGTATGGAATCGTTTATGTATTTTATCAAATGTCTTCCGTTAAAATCGGTATGTTACTATATGATATTTGACCCATTGCTGGGCGAAGCCCTCCTCAGTACAGAGGGTATTATGAAATTATCTATGTCGCTTACAACATAATTTGTATAGATATGCATATTTCCTCATCATGTTTTCCTCTTCGGCTAGTTCGCAGGTAATCAATATCAAAATAATGTGTCATGAACTCATGAATAGCAAAAATGGATTAAAACTGCCTCGTATGATTTTTGTGTACCTACTTAGTGTCACCAGGATAAAACAACAACACACAAACTTTCTTGAGGCATTGTTAAAGACAAATAGATAATATAAAGCTGGGCACTTTATAGTAATCGCCGTGACGAGGGAATTGATCGCTTTCGGTACCGTAGGGGGGACGTAAGTACTCTTTCAGACGTTAACATTAACACATCAATCATCTTTTAAAAGAAAACTAACGTCCGGTTATTGAAACACTGATCATCGTAGAAATTTACTAATCAGATGTCAAATAGCTTTTCAAATGTCATTTGAGTTGCCAAAAAGACGGTGAAACTATTTGAATTGATCATTCTGATCATTAAGAATCTTTTTAACAACTCAAATGACCTTTGAAAAGCCATTTGAAGGCTGATTAGTTAATTTATTTTTACGATTATCAATGTTTTAGATATCGGGCGTAAAGCTATTAAGTATTTCCTAAGGAATTGCATTCGCAGCACTATTAGTATTATAATTGTTGTGATAGCTAAGGAAAATTTTTTTTGCGCGCGCCCTTAAGTCTATACATATCATCGCTTCCAACTGTTTGACGTACATTATTATAAGATATGTCGTATTAAATGTTATTTGCTATCTGTAGTGTATTTTAATGCTACGCTTAGGTCATATGAGTGTCCTACATTAATTTTATAATTTTAATGTCGACGAATGTAATAACTTAATGATTGGTGGGTCCTTCTTGGGGTGAACTGCATCATCATTTATAAGCAATAGGGATTAATAGTAGTAGGTAGTTAAGCACTAGCCGATCTGCCGTAAGAAAAAAAAAGTAAGACAATACATTGCTTTTGTAAAAACGAGTACAAAAAATACATATACATCCGAACCGAAGAAAGGTTCTCTACTAAAGCTTGCGCGGCGATTCGTGTAGACAAGTTCTAAGTGGTCGGGGCAAATTGTTTAAGGGGCCAAGCTAATTGGTGTTGCGGCCGGATGAAGGGAGTGAGGCATTGTGCACGTCGCCGATGCCTATCGCGTTCGGTGGTTAATTGAGACTTCACTTCGCCGGGAGACTGCTGTGACTATCAGACAACAACGGATACTAACGTTTGCAAGAATAATTATTTCCTTGCAGGAGATCCAATGCAATGTTATCTATTGTTAACTTAACTTTGGAAAAGGGCTCCGAGTACTTAAAAGTTAAAAGACTGCTCATTGCGACAATGAATGAACCACACATATAGACCCATATATGAATGGGTTGACCGAATTTAAAAGAGATAAAAGATACTGTTAGAAGGAGAGACTTGTAACGTGACGCTTTGCCAATGAATGAAAGTCTCTGAATGTATGAACCAATCAGAATTATTTAATTAGGTAATTTGTTTGAAAATTATTATTTTTAATTATGGATTTTTTAAAGTTTGTATTTTTTATTAATTATTAGCAAGTAGCGATAGACGTGTGTTAATTTAATGTCGCGGTTGTAACAACACGCATTATATATGCACGTATTTGAATGTACGGTGTATTTCTTCATAGAATAATAAAACTATCAGTTTCCATTATACTTCTCGTGCAGGAATTCGTTGTTTAAAACATTACAGTTGAGGGGAATCTAATTAATGATCAAAACACCGATATTTTATTCTTAAAAAAAAAAGAGAATTTTCGGTGTCTATTTTTTCTTATTTAATGTTTAAGACGGTACGAAGCAGAAATAAATTCAAATCAAATTGATAACGATAAAAAACTTGCGTTAGTAAAAATACCTACTGTTTTCCACTTAATTAAACCAAGGGCATTTTTTAGTTCCTAATTAGACTTTTCGTCACTAATAATATTAATTAAATTATTTGTCCTTTAGGCATGTTTGAACTCGTAATTTAGTCAAAAAATTATTTGCCTGTCTTTGCTAAGAACTAACATTTACTCACGCGTAACACAATGCATAATAAGGCAGAAAGAATTCACGATTAAATAATAACGATGTGGTCCCTATTAACACGTCTAAGACGCAGTTGTAATATTACACGTAACTTTATTTGCATGTTTTCAAGTTAGTGCACATAATGACTTAAAAATGTTACATACTCGTAGGTATTCTTGATATCATGCATGCTACTTATATTCAGATAAGTATGGTTAATAACAAGTCTATCTGACTGGTAGTTTGAAGTTCAGTTCAAATGGAAGGACAAGTCAATTTGTCTCATCTAATTTTTCACAAAACCATTTGAATAAATTTATAGATTACCGTCGAAACATTAAAAAAGACAAGAAGTACGTATTTTTAAACTAAAAGAAGTAAAATTTATCGATAAGAGTACAATATTCTTAAGTGATAAACTTTGAAATATACAGTATAAATAAGTTAATATTTCACGGTGTTGGAGTTTGAGACCCTTGAGATACCTACATGTTATCATAGATGGCAAGGTGCGGCAGTCTTAAATAAATTATAGCAGGTCTGTCGTAAAAGTAAAAGTAACGAGAAAAAGACTACGTTTAAGTTTTAGTAACTTATACAAGACTCATTTGGTACTTCTATGATAAACTTACAAGCTTTTGACAGGCGAGCATAATTGACACGATATTTTTGCTTACGACGACAATGATATTATGGAAGCGGAAACAATTTTTCGTCTGGTAAGAATGAGTTTTAAAAGTTATAAGAGCGTAGAAAAACGTCTTTTGAATTTTTATAGTTCACATGTATTTTAAATTAAAAAAAAAACCCTTTGCTCATGAATATATAAAGATTCTATACATTACTTCGGCCATGTACAACTGTAATAAGCCATATAGATTAAGTTATAACCATAGTCTGGAGTGGAAGCTTATGTTCAGCAGTGGATTTGAAATGATGATGATAACCATACTTAAAAGAAGATAATATTAGAATTATGTAATGATGTAAATTGACCACAGCATTTTAATTGAAAGAAGATCAAAACAGAATATCCAATGTTAACAAACGAAACAATGATAAAATGTGGCACAATGTAGTATTCAGTTATCATAGCGAATAAATTATACGTTTTCGCACCCAAGGATGGCGCACATAATTGCGACTTTTTGTAACTAATAGGTTGGTTCGCAGTGAAACTGGTACATAGTCGAAATTAATTTTTATCTATTATCCGTCTAAACGGGCAGATGCAATCTAGTTTTGTCTACGTTATACTGTAGACGGACACGTAATGTGTGCTAAGCGATTATCGTTGAAGTGCTAAATTGAATATGTTACAGTAATCATTCGTGCAAGCATTGCGGTACTTATACTAAAGTTACTATTTAAGTATACTTTAATGTGGTAGGGCCATGCATTGGTGGGAAGGACCACCTTCTTACACGAATAAGTAAGTGTACGTGAATATCGCAGTGTGATCAGCAAAAGTCACACAAATTTCTTCTAAAAATGTACAGATTATATATACATATTAGCGACAACTTCTCCATGAACGGGCCGGTGGCCCGTCCGAGGACACGCCAAGGCCTCACCCAAGATCTAGGACGTTTAGCGTTTCGTCCGT